TCTATAGTCTAGTCTATAGTCTAGTCTATAGTCTAGTCTATAGTCTAGTCTATAGTCTAGTCTATAGACTATTCTATAGACTAGTCTAAAATCTAGTCTATAGAGCAATCTATTGTCTAGTCTATAGTCTAGTCTATAGAGCAATCTATAGTCTAGTCTAATCTATAGTCCAGTCTATAGTCTTGTCTACAGTCTAGTCTATATTATTATCAATAGTTTTGTCTACAGTCGTGTCTGTAGTCTAGTCTATAGTTTAGTTTTGACAATGCTCTTGATTGACAATGCTCTCGATATTCTATAAAATCCTAACTCAATATCTGAACTTTTTCACATCTCAACTACCCTTTTTCATCCTTTTATCTCTTTTAATTTAATTCAGCTGCTCTTAATTTCACATAAAAAAGTAACTTTAAAAATATTTTTTTTCATTTTTACCCTTTTTCATTTTCTAATAATTCCTCCATAAAGCTTTTTGTTTATTTGAAAAATGTTTTCTAATTATAAATTGTTTGTTGTTGTTAAGTTTACCTAATTTTTATTCATAATTAAAACATTATTATATTTTACTTAATTTTGTATATTTTATATTTTTTTGCGTTCTAAACTGTGCCCTGTATCTTGCCCGTCTGTCTGTCTGTGTTTCATGCCGTTTACAAAGTTAAAAATAAATTTGCATAATTTCCATAAGTTTAACATGGAAAAACATGTTTAAAAATAAAACAAGTTTTTTTTTTTCAATTTTGTGTGTTGTTATATTTGTTGTTATTGTTTTTATTTATAAATGTTTTTTTTTTTTTAATATTTATATTGCTATTGTTTTAGTAGTCTTCATGGCTTGAGAACAAATAATAAAACTATTGTTTTGTGAAAATAAGTTAAATACGAAGGTAGGCTTTAATTTTCTTTTAAAAGAGGTAGACTATTCTTTAGTCTGGACAATAGTATATTCTATAGTCTGTACTACAGTTTATTCTATAGTCTGGATTATAGCCAAAACTATAGTCCATTCTATTCAGTATAGTCTATTATATAGTCAATACCATAGTCTATTCTATAGTAAAGATTATAGTCAAGACTATAATCCATACTATAGAATATACTAAAGTCTGGACTATAGAATAGACTATAGTCTGGACTATAGCATAGTCTACAGTCTGGACTATATAATAGACTATAGTCTGGACTATAGAATAGACTGTAGTCTGGACTATAGAATTGACTGTAGTCTGGACTATAGAATAGACTATAGTCTGGACTATAGAATATACTATAGTCTGGACAATAGCATAGACTAAAGTCTGGACTATAGATTAGACTGTAGTCTGAAATATGGAAAAGACTATAGTCTGGACTATAGAATAAACTATAGTCTGGACTATAGAATAAACTATAGTCTGGACTATAGAATAAACTATAGTCTGGGCTATAGAATAGACTATGGTCTTGACTATAGAATAGACTATAGTCTGGACTATAGAATAGACTAAAGTCTGGACTATAGAAAAGACTTAAGTCTGGACTATAGAATATACTATAGTCTGGACTATAGAATATACTATGGTCTGGACTATAGAATAGACTATAGTCTGGACAATAGAATAGACTGTAGTCTGAAATATGGAAAAGTCTATAGTCTATAATAATATGGAAAATATGGAAAAGACTATTGTCTGGACTATAGAATAAACAATAGTCTGGACTATAGAATAAACAATAGTCTGGACTATAGAATAGACTACAGTCTGGACTGTAGAATAGACTATAGTATGAATATAGAACAGACTATAGTATGAATATAGAACAGACTATAGTCTTAATAAAATAAACTGTAGTCTGGACTAGAGAATAAACTATACTGTAGAATAGACTATAGTCTGGACTATAGAACAGAATATATTCTATTCTATAGTCCAGACTATAGTCTATCCTATTAAGACTATAGTCTATTCTATATTCAGAATATAGTCTATGATATAGTCCATACTATAGTTCATTCTATAGTTCAAACTACTGTCCCTTCTATAGACTAGACTATGTTTAATTTTCTATAGTAAAGACTTATATATGTACTTTTTATTGAAAAGACTTTTAAGTCTACTCTCGTTTAATGAAATGACTAAAATATTGTACATATTTATACAGTTATTTTTAAAAATAATTGTATCAAATGAAATGGTTAGAAATAAAGAATGGTTGTTTAGTTACTAACTAAAAATGATAGTCCATATCGTACATAGTAATTTTATTTAATATAATTTTATATTACATATTACTGAACTGCTATTTATCATGTATGGTTTAAATAATTGTTTATAAATTTGTTTATTTATCTATTAAAAAATGAAAATTTTACCACAGAGTTCAAATAGGGTTGAATGTTTTAAATATATTTACATACGATTATACCTTTTGTCTCCATTTTGAGTAACGAAATAGTTTCATCCTTTTTAATTTTTTTAATGTTTTAAATTATCTCATAAACATATGTTTACAAAGATATTTCCACTTTTTATTATAAATTTGAGTGAAAAGTATTGCGTCAATATCTTTTAATCGAAAAAAGTGTATTTGTATTTTAAATTCTATAGCTTTCGGGAAATTACTGTTTTTATTAAGCCTATCGAAACAGTGTAGATAACGTTTTTATTTAAAACTTTAACGTAAACGTGATGATGCATCAGCTGATCGACAAGTTGAAATACATACATAGTTCATTGAAGTGCTGGCTGACTTGCACACACAAGTATTTACTTTTTTATGTTCGACATATTGAATTTTTCATTCCTTTTGTAACACATTTTGAAATAGCGATTGTGGAGCCTTATAACGAGTTTATATTAACCTATAATCATTTGTATTTTCGTCTGTTAATTGGGGGTGCATTTAGACCAAGAAGAGAGGAAATAGCAGAATGAAATTTTTCCTAAAAATTCTGTGTCAGTCGGAAATTTTTGACATTGAAAATTTAGTCTATTTTTCTAAAAAATAGCGACTAAAAGAAGCGAATTAGATAATTTTAATTTTTCAGGTTTAGATTGAACCGATCATAGCAAAACTAGAGAGAAATTTTTATTATGCCATGGAACCGATTTAAGATTTTAAATCAAAATATATAAAAATAGTTGCTCAATCGTTCATTGGTTATTTAATATTCATTACAGTCGTATATAGAAACGTTCTTAAGTGTTTATAACGTAAACGTATCGTGACGTTGTTAAACAAGAAAAACTCGTTCATGTGGCAGTCAGAGTAAACAGCTGATTTTAAATATGTATGCGTAAGTATATTAGCTTTTTATTGTTGACGTGCTAAACAACAACAATAATAAAAACAGCAACAGAATTGAAAAAGCAAATAAAAACAAAGCAAATAGTAGAAAAAAGCAACAACAACTACAAAAATTTATTAATACTTAAAAAAAAAAAGGAAATTAAAAAAGATAAAGTAACAAATGCAGTCGCTATTAAAGAATTGTGTAATGCTCTACTGATCTATAGTTGAGAATATAGAATAAAATATAGAATAGACTATAGATTGGTCATTAGTTAAGAATTTAGTATGATCTATAAATAAGACAATAGAACTATTAAAACTTTAAACTGATCTAAAGACAAGACTATAGACTGATCTAAAATCAAGATTATAGACTGATTTATAATCATTATACTGATCTATAGTCTTTAGTCAATACTTTAGGTTTAAGTCAACACTATAACCTGAGTCATAATCAATACTATAGACTGATCTGTAGTCAAGGCTTTTATAAAGCTGTAGACAAGACTATTAACCGATCAATAGTGTAGACTATAGGCTGATCTAAATACTAGATAAATAGTCTTCTGTCAAGATTTTAGTCAAAACTATATACTGATCTGTCAATACTATAAAGTGATCTATATTCAAGACTATTAACTGATCTACAGGCAAATCTATAATCAAGACTATAGACTGATCTATAGTCAAGACTTTAGACTGTTCTATAGTCAAGACTATAGACTGTTCTAAAGTCAAGACTATAGACTGTTCTATAGTCAAGACTATAGACAAGACTATATAGAGTTAAGACTATATACTAAATCTATAGTCAAGTTTGATATAAAATCAAGACTGTAAACTGTAGTTAATTGATTACATGAGATAATATCGCTCATTAAAACCATACATTTTAAAATTTTTAAAATACAAAGTAATGTTTTTTTTTAATTAAAAATGTATTACTCAAGCGGAAATTTTCATATTTGAATATTCTAAACATTTAGGAATTTAAATAAAATCACCAAAATCTATTAAGTTTTATCAAATAATTGATTTAATATAGAAAACCGTTTAAAATTTTTAGTATATTATTTATTCACTTATTTCAATATGTAAAGTCTGATTGATTGGCCATTAAAAATGTAATAGTTTGACGTAATTTTTAAATGTAAACTGGGTAAATTACACCATTTCGAATAATTAATATAAATAGTTCTCAAATGACAGGTGTTTTAAAAGAATTTCAAAACAATAGTGTCTAACAAGTTTTACACGAAATGAAAAATAATTTGAAATTTTCACTATGTTAGGAAATATTTGCATTCAAAACTTTTATATATGATTAATTCAACAAAAAGTAAAAAAAAATATTAAAAAAAACTATTTTCCCAACCCTGCATAAAAAATCAACTGCAGGGTGTTAAATTATAAATAAAAACTAATTAAAGAAAAACAAATAAATATTTTTCAAAATCTTTAACAATTTCAATCAAATTCCGTTTTTTATAAGAAAACTGAAACTGAACTTTCTTATCTTGCCATATTTCTCATTTTACTCACAACGGCTGTCAAAATTTATCTCTTACAATTTTTAGCCACATGGCAAGCCTGCCTATTGTGAATAGTAGAAGAGAGAAAAAATTAAAATAAAAACAAAAACTTCAACATAATAAGCGCACAAAAACAACAACTGTTTTACACAAACTTTGCTTAAAAAAGAAAGAGATCACCATAGTCCAACTTACCTTTTAAACTCTATAGTTTTGACTCATTTCCGCTTACGGATATTTAAACAAACACAATTATTTTTTCTTTTACACTTTTCTTCACACACTGAAAACGTTTAAAAGGAGAGATGATTGAAAATTGAAGAAAAAAAAATTGCGAAAAATTGTTGGATTTTCTTTTGGATAAAAGAAAATTGAAACTTTTGTGTGTTAATTTTAATTTCTATATAATTTTTCTTTAATTAAAATTTATTGGGATATTTTATGGATTTTTTTTAGTAAAACACTTTTAATAAATTGTTAATTTTTTTCACATGAGCCAAGTAAGAAAAATAAATTTCCTTCCGTGTGCGCCTTTTTTCACTGCACTAGAAAAATTTCTCAACAACAAAACACTACGAGGTCCAAAAGTAAACTGAGAAAAAATTTTGCTTCGTTCTCGACACTTTACACAAGAAACAAGAGAATTTGTATTAGTTGACAGCAGGGGATAATTTTGTCAGAAAGTTGGATTTTTTTCATGTATGTCATTTGACAGTAACGTTTACAGGGGATTTTTTTATATATAAAGTTTGACAGTCTTATAAGGGAGCAACGATTAAACAGCTGTTTTACTAACTACATTTTTAGTGAATTCTACTTGCAGTTACTGCTGTATTCTTCATTTAATGCATAGCTTTGTACAAGAGTAAGAGGGAGATGACTGCAGTTCTATGTCAATAGTTGGTGATAATTTAAAGAAATGGTTGCCATTCTTTTAGAAGAAAAAAAAAAAAATAGAAAATTCCATTAAAAAGCCAGAAAACATTAATACAGTTTTATCATGACATAATTTTAATTACAATTTTTCTTCTAATTGTCTTTATTATTAAAGCCATAATATATTTTTAGTATTTGTTTAATTATTGTAAAATTTATTTAGAATTTTATAGATTAATACATGTTATTAATTTGCCTAGAAATGTGTAATGTTATATGTTTAGGTAAAGGCAACTCTTTATACAATTGGAAATACGAAAGATAATAAGAAAACAAACTAAGATAAAAAGAATAGTTAAATTGACAACTACTAGAGTTTAGAGAACAAAGCTGATGTAATAACAACGGCGTCAAGACTATTTTGTTCAACGGCGTTAGCTTGTAATAGAAATTACTATCAACAGATAAAATTACGGCTAAACTCAAACTGTGTCAAATCTTCTTAACAACAGTTTCTATATAGAAATATGTCTGTATAATAGTTTCTTATATAGAAAACTTTCCCTCCGAAAGCTTTTTCCGTAGAAAATTTCCTTTATAACAGTTATTTCAATATAAAACGTTTTTATAACAGTTATTTTTATGAACATTTGCTAGAAAACAAAATTTTATATAAAAATGTTCTGTATAAACTATTATTTTCTACATAAAACTGTTATACACATCAATTTTATAGAAATAAATGAAAACGGACGATTTTCTACTGAAAATGCTGTTATTAAGGCTAAATTTTGTGTAAAAAACGGTTATACAAACAATAATCTGTGAAAGAAACTCTTATACAGAACATTTTATGAAAAAAAAACTGTGTAAATATGTAAACTCTTATACTTAGATTATATACTCCACTAAAGACTAGTCTTAAGTATTATTAGATTATAAACTATACTATAGACTAGACTATGGACTAGACACTTACCTAGTCTATAGACTAGAATATAAACCAGATTGTAGACTAGACTATAGATTAGATAATATAACAAACTATGCTTGGATATAGACTAAACTATTGACTAGACACGAAACTATATTCTTGACTATAGAATAGGCTATAGATCTAGAATTTACAATAGAATTGACTATAAGCTAGACTACAGACAGGACTAAACATAATATTTTTATAGAACATACTGTTATACTGTCAATATTTTATGTAAAAAATGTTATACAAGCAATATTCGGTGGAGCAAACATTAATGCAGAGTACAACTTTTGATTCAGAACAAGTCTACTGCGGACAGACCGAAAGTCTGCTTGCCGATTCTAAATACAATGAGCAGGAGGATCGTTCATATAAAAATAAGACACATTTTCTTTTTAATTTTATTAATTTATTCTTCTAATTTAATATTTGCTTTAAAATTGTATTTATTTAAGTTTGTTTTTTGTATAATAATTAATTTAAATTTGTTTTCATAATCTACTTACTAAATATTAAAGATTAAATTTTATATTTTAATTATTTTTGTTTTGTTTGTACAACCACAATCACTTGGTGTTTTTCTATAATAATAATAAACTTACTAACAATATCATCTATTTTAATTTAGAAAAAAAAAAATACATAATTCGTTGCACCTTTTTGTTTAAGGGATAACAAATTACTTTTGAGCTTTAGCATGAGATATTTTGGCCATTGAATGTTGATTCACTATACGTTCCATATCACGTATTTCCATAATATCAGTCTTAAGGCGCTGTTTGACAATTTCACGCCAAATAGCTTCCCTATCACGATTATTTGTAACACCCATACGCTGCAGGGAGGAGTCATTGATACGCAACAAAGCACGGCCCGTGATTTCATGCTGGAACAGTGTAATAATGCATCAATAAGTTCTATTTACTCGTTTTTATATAAATAACCAGTTTAGTCATCTTACCTTGGAAAATAATTCCAAGTATTCCAAATATTCACTGCAATGCCTGCGATACCATTTCAATACATCACCCACTGTCCATAGATATACTGGTTTTGGTCTATCGGGTTTAGATCTGGGCCTATTACTGGTTGTGGTCTCTTCTACCATATTTTTTCTTAATTATTTTTAATAAATTTTCAACAAAATTTATAAATTCTTGTAAAAATCCATCATAACTATTAAAAAATGCAAAATGACAACAATGTTTACGTACAACACACAACAAAAAGAGAATAATAAAATAGACATTTGATTAAAGCTATTGTGATTTATTTTCATTTATTACACTATTGTGATTGTTTTCTTAGTTTATTGTTTTTATAGTTGGCAGCACTGCATAACATGACTGGCACTAGCCAGAGAGCAACAACAACAAATTGACATTTGTAAAACACAAAAGAAAAAGTAAAAAAGCAAGAAATTATACAAATCATCGCGAAAATTCGCAATATATAAAATTTAAATTCATAAATAAACTAAATTGAGTTAACATTTAGCAAGTGAGCATTATTACTTTTTATAACGTTCCCCTAAAACAAAGTAAGTTTGTTAAAAATTAGTTTTTGTTAATAAAAAAGAAAACTAAATTCTTTGCTGTCTTGCTGTTTTATAGTAAAAGAAAAATGGCCGGAGCAACTTTATTCGAACGGGCTCAAGCCTTGTCAAATGTTAACCGTGAGGAAGGCATTTCTTTGCTAAATAAAATCGTACGCGAACAGGAGGTGGCTGAAAATGATGAAGAACTTATACGTATCAAGGAACAGGGCATCTTACAGTTGGGTGAACTCTATAAACAAGAGGGTAAGGCTAAGGAATTGGCCGATTTGATTAAAGTAACCCGCCCGTTTTTGAGTCTTATAAGCAAGGCTAAAGCGGCAAAATTGGTGCGTTCTTTGGTGGATATGTTCCTGGATATGGATGCTGGTACGGGTATAGAGGTGAGTTTTTGGCGAAGGAGGTCATGGTATAGGTTTTTTTATGGAAAAATGGCCATCATAATCAGAATTTTTGTTTAGAAGGACAATTGCAGAAGGTGCAAGAGGGACTTGGTACAATTTTAAATAATTTTTGTTACAATTTTTGCAAAATTTTGTAAAATTTCTAGAATCTTCCGCAAAATTTTTTTCCGACGAGTAATAAAAACACTATATATTTTTATAGAATTTTTTGGTACTAATTAGAATTTTTGGTAAAAATTAAATTTTTTCGCGAAATTTAAATTTTGTGGTGAAATTTTAATTATTTGATGAAATATTGATATTGTTTTAGTGGCCAAATATTGATTTTTTTGTGAAAATTGGAATTTTGTGGGGAAATATTAATTTTTGGTGAAATTTTGATTTTGTGGTGAAATATTAATGTTGAGGTAAAATTTTGATTTTGAGACAAAATTTTCATTTTGAGGTGAAATATGTGGAATAATGATTTTGAGGTGGAATATTGGTTTCTGGGTGAAATATTTGTTTCGTGGTGAAATTTTGTTTTGGTGAAAGATTGACATTGATTATGGTGAGCTATAGGCTAGAATATGCCATAGAGTAGACTATAGACTAGGTTATACACTAGACTATAGACTAGACTACAGACTAGACTATAGACTAGATTATAGACTAGACTGTAGACTAGACTGTAGACTAGACTATAGACTATACTATAGACTATACTATAGACTATACTATAGACTATACTATAGACTAGACTATAGACCAGAATAAAGACAAGACCATAGACTAGACTATCGACTAGACTATAAACTTGACTAGACTAGACTATACTATAGAATAGACTATAGATTATACTATACTATAGAATAGATTAGACTATATACTAGACTATAGACTACACTATTGACTAGACTATAGACTAGACTAAAGACTAGACTATAGACTATACGACAGACTAGACTATGGACTGGATTATAGACTAGACTATGGACTGGATTATAGACTAGACTAATGACTATACTATAGACTATACGACAGACTAGACTATTCAGATTATACTACAGTTTAATCTATAGACTAGACCATTGATTAGGTTATAAACAAGACTATAGACTAAATCACAGACTATATAAAAGTCTATATGAAGTCAAAATCTTCATATTTGTCTAAAACTAAAAAAATTCAATTCTTTTTCTTTTCCCTCCACCAGGTCCAACTCTGCAAAGATTGCATTGAATGGTCGAAACAGGAAAAACGTACATTCTTGCGTCAAAGTTTGGAGGCCCGTTTGATTGCACTCTACTTTGATACCGGCATGTACACAGATGCCTTACAATTGGGTTCACAACTTCTCAAGGAACTGAAGAAACTAGATGATAAAAATCTTTTGGTCGAAGTGCAACTATTAGAAAGTAAAACTTATCATGCTCTCAGTAATTTGCCAAAAGCTAGGGCTGCTCTCACATCGGCACGCACCACAGCAAATGCCATCTATTGTCCACCTAAAGTGCAGGCATCTTTGGATTTACAATCGGGCATATTGCATGCAGCCGATGAGCGTGATTTCAAAACCGCCTTCTCCTATTTCTATGAGGCCTTTGAGGGTTTCGATAGTGCAGATAATGCTAAAGCTTTGACTGCACTCAAATATATGTTATTGTGCAAAATCATGTTGGGTCATTCGGATGATGTCAATCAAATTGTCAGTGGAAAATTGGTAAGTAAATGGGAAGAAAATTGTGTTTTGTATAGTATATTAATGATGTTTACTTAAAGGCTATTACTT